CAATGAGATTTAGTCTTATTAGTGTGCCCAATCAGAATTCTTCTTTAGTTTATGGTAATTCTAATCACGGCGCCTTTCGAGTGGTGGGGTCTCCCACCAGTGAGTCTTTCCAAGATAGAGGCTTCAATGAGAGCGGGTCTTGCTCAACTCCCTTCCATGATGGGGGGTCCTGATGCCGCGCTTTTCCCTCTCCATCCTAGCATTGTTGCATGCATTTCTTATAATCATGCGCGTTGCGATCGGTCAATGTTGTGAAGGTTAGGTGTAGCATTGTTTTTGAGTGTATCATCTGGCTTGTGTTTTTCAGGCTAATTTTATGATTTGTGTACGCCAGATGTTTTATAATTTGTCGTCGATAGATGCTTTATGGCGAGGCCGTGTCAAATGTCTCGTAGCATTAGTTTTATGACTTGTTTTGCTGGATACTTGGAGTCTTGTTCTCGCCAGATGTGTTTATGAAGTTATTTTCTTATGATATTCTAAGTTTTGCTGAATTGTTTAGATTTAGTTAATCCGAGGCGCGTTTTTGAATGTTATTACTCGCGTAGCCCAGAGTTGCCTTTTTCGGAACTCTTATCTCGATTTTTCCAGATGTTTAATGAACTGGGAGTTTTCTTACATTCTTGAACAGTTATGTAGTCAATGTTCCATAATAATTCATACAAGTTCATTTTGAAATGTTAATTTTCATATTTATGAAAAAAATTTTATGAAATGATAAATAAATTTTTTAGATTTAATTCATAATGTTCATATCTGAATGTTTATAATGTATCTCAACAAATTTTAAATAGTTTTTAGATAATCCTCAATAAATCTTTTATTCTATACATACTTTATTTTATAATGATAATTTAGTAAAAAAATATGTTTAAAAACAGGCTTATATTTCTCTTGAACAAATATAACTTGTATTCTTGATGTATTGAATTTTATATTGTGTTTGAATGTATTCTTTATAAAGTAAGATAAAAAGAATTTGTGTTCGATTACTTGACAATATAAAATAATTTTCTAAGTTTTACTACATATTGTATACGTTATTCGTTTAGAAATGAATGACTTCTAAAATAAATAACTATTTTGTAATGCGGGAATTGAAATTATAAAACTTTGAGGCTACCAATTAGTTTCATACTAATTTCTCAAATAAGTATTCGTATTTTAATTATAGTAATAAGCTAGTAACTTTTTGTTAAGAAATGGAAGATACAAAGAATGAAAGAAATAACATTATAGAATTCTTTAAATAAAATTTCTGAAATAAAACATATAATAGAAAGTTAGTCGATAATAATTATATAATGATAGTGCAATAAGTACAAAAAATAAGAAATTTATAAAAACATAGGTAAAACATATATTTTATCGTATATCTCAATAGATAGGCTGTTAAGGCTTCGACAAAAAAAATAATGATAGAAAATATAATATCAAGTTAGGAGTAGAATGTTTAAGAGAGTGCATTCTTAAAAATTATTTTTTTGTTATTTAAAATTGATTTCAATTCTTATCAAGTATATAAATGTTCTACTGCAATTAATTACTAATTAATTTATAACTTTAAATGACTCTTTAAATTTTATAAATATTAAAACTACATATTGTATTTAATATTGATTATTTGTAATTAAAATATCTAATTCTCAATTTTTAATTAAAATTTTATTATAAATCTTCAAATTCTAAGATATATATTTTCTTTAATACTTATTAAATTATTTTTCAGATTTTTCTATTTATACCATTTTACGTTTTACGCTTATCAATACCGCTTCAACGGACAATATAGCAGCTTAGCACTTGTAACTTCATGGCTTTTTATTCAAGTAAGTGAAAATGTGTAAATTATATGAGTGTTAACCGGAAAGTGAAAATAAATCATAAATATAAATTTATATTTATTTTCAGTCTATTTTTTATACTTTATTAGATTATTTTAAATTATACATACAATAATGAAATTGACAATTAATAAAATAAAACAAATCCATGTGTAAATAATTAGAAATTTTATTTAAGCTATATATAGTAATATTGAATGATATTTTAATGTTCGTAATTATTTTGAAAATAATAAAATGTATGATAAATATTTAAATATTTGAAAAATATAATAAATATTCTATATTTCTACAACTATCTTTATACATGCTTTTTGAATATTTTGTACTGTAAATGGAATGGAACTTAATTATGTTTATGTTAAAATAATTTTTTAATATAACTTTAATATGTATTCCAAATATATTAGTTACAAATTCATTATTATATCTTTATAAGTTAATACATTATATTTAATATGAATGTAAGTATAGAAATATACATGATTAAAAATGGTCATAATACATTAAAATACGATTCCTAATTTTAAAATAAAATAATGTTAATTCTAAGATATTTAAAATTTTGAAAACAATTATAAAATAAGCTATTATTTTTAATTAATTTTTAATTAAAGTATATTAATTCTCAGTATTAAACTACTAATAAATGTAAAAAGTTAAAAACTATTAAAATATATATCTATAATGTATATAATGTAAACGACACATACAGAGTAATCAGATATTCAGACGTTTCTCTCAGTTGATAAAGGCATCTTTCACTGTGTTGTTAAAAACAATTGAATTATGAAGAATAAAAAAGTAAGCGTCATACCATCTTGAAAAGCACGCTTATTATAATCTCGATATATTTAGATTAATTTTTGGCTTGCGTTACATATTATGGAACAATCAGGTGCGTAGTGTCTGTTACATTAAATGAAATATTTGGATAAATATATAAACCATTTATAGGTTTCGTCGAGTAAATCGCGACATAGTTATTCCTCCATTTAGTACTGCTCATTTCTCTTTCATAATATCTTTTGTATTACTCTTTCTTTCTCATTCTAATTTCTTAAGTATATTTAAATGTCAAATACAGGAATCCATTATAAAAATACTTTTTAGATGTTTCTCTCTCTCTCTCTCTCTCTCTCTCTCTCTCTCTCTCTCTGTTAACTTATTGTAATTTTTTCTTGTTTTTTTCTCTATTTCGATCAATCTTTTCATTTCTCACGGTAAGAAGTGAATATTCGTTTTTCTTGTAATACGTGAATTATTAAAAACAAAGTAATATTATTAATTTCCTTTTTATTGATTTCGTTATTTTATTTATTTTTTATTTTATTTATTAGCATGCTGATTCCCATAATTTAAATATTTCTAGACTAATGTTTAGGGTACATTTAATATCATTTATTTTATATTATAGAGTCACGTAAATATAATATATATATATATATAGATATATATATGATTTGACTATTAAAAAGAAAATCATTCAAAATTTATCAATAAAATTATTTTTGACATTACTCATTACTATCCAAATACAATTATATTAAACTTAAGTTAAAATATGATATAATACTATAAGTTTTTAAGAAAAAATTTAATTAACTGATAAAATAAAAATTTATAAATTGTAAAATAAAATTAGATCCTAACTTAAAAAAATATGTTTGTAACTTAATTTATAGTAAGCTTGTTATTAAACAAATTGAACAAACATTCACGATCCTAAATTTAATAATCATTTTAAAGATTCATAAAAATAATAGATTTCACGAAACCTCCGCATGCAAATTTGTAGATTTACATTTAGAATTAAAAAAAATATAGTTTATAATTACATACTAATCTAGACCAATATTTTTTAACCAACTAATATATTTGGAGGAAATTTCAAAGTTCTTGGCAGCTTGATGTACCTATATCCAACTATAATTCTGCGTAATTTTAGTTGGCTGTAGGTCAAAGTTCATCAAACACTTAACTGCGTGCAATTAACGCCCTCGAATATGCCGGTACCTGCTATCGTTTTGATAAATATACTTAGGAAGCTTCGATGAGCTTATTTGAGTTCTCTCTAACCTATTATATTTGTATTAGTATACATGAATAATATTTACATTTGTATTTTTAAATTCCAGACGTACGAATGTGCGTACGAATGTAAATTTGTGATTATCTGTGCATTACGCGATGCAGATAAATATATTAAAATTTAAGATCTATATTTATTAATATTTCTGTGCGATTAATTTTTAATTGTGTGATACCTTTTAACTACTACTAAAAAATTACAAATATTGGTTATATTTATTTAAATTATTGTAAAATATTAAATTTATTAGATCTATGCATTTACAGTTTGGAAATTGCTTTTGTTTCTTTCGCAATATCTATTTTTAAACATCTTTACTCATGAAAATTGACAAAAATAAGTTTTCTTTTTTAAATATGGATACATGGAATTTATGTAAATTAGTTAATATGCAATTTAAACTTATTTAAGATTAGACAATATTAAAATATCTATTAACTATCAAAATAATTAGCTGTAATTTTTAGTTAATTTGTAATTGTATTCGTTGAATTTAAAATCAAATATTATTACTATATATTATGTAATTAAATATGTTTTAAGCATTTCATTATATATAAATCATTTTTTATCACTATTCTAATATGTCATTTTAATAACAAAGTCTTAATTAAATACGTAATACTATAGCCATCCTTAAATTTGTTACTATAAAGAAAGATGTTTATATCTATAATTACATTCCTAATTAATTATGAAATATTTAATTAATAATAATTATAATAGTTACCTATTGATTTCTAATTATTTTATCATAGATTACTTTGAATTTTGTAAATAATAATATGACCTAATAAGATTTAATATACTTGAATGGCATGATATTTAATAGAGTTTAAATTTTTTCTTAATTGTATAATATGAAGAAATTTTTCCTATAATATAAATTAATATTTAAACTGTTATATTACTAGTGCATAATGATTTTTAATTTTTTAAATGTTGAAATAGATTAGATTTGAATATGTATAAGTGAGTTATAAATTTTATAAATAATGTTTGAAACATTATTTAATTGTAACATAATATTTTAATGTATAATTTTCCATATGAATAATATAAACAATCTTGTTTTCTGTTAAACCTATTCAGTAATTGATCTTATTTTATAACTTCCATTATAAAAGGAATATTAATATTAGAACATCATTAAATAATTATTATGCATATTTCCGATTTAAACAAATATATAAATCATATAAATCGTAAACAATATAAATCGAATAAAGTGATAAGTCCTGTTAAAAGTTAAAAATATCGCTGAATAGATATTTGTCTGAAATATATAAATTGATAGGGAATTATTAAATAATTGAATCTGATAAATTTGTAACCTTCAAATTTTATTATTTTAATCGCTAGAGAAGTCATAGTTAAATCTGATAAATTTATAATCTTCAGATGTTATAATTTTTAATGCTAGAAAATATTGGTATATAATCACTGTTATTTTGATATGTAAAGTAATTTTGTTTCTGTTGTTACTAAAAAAGGTCGAGTATTAATCGTCAAGGTATCAATGTCTATTTTACTTTAGATAATTTTGTCATTATAAACATATTAATACTGTAAAGTTTTAATATTATAAACATAACTATTTATAAATTTTGAAGAGTTTTAATTGTTCTTAATTTTTAATTAGAATTATTTATTATTTTAAATAATTTAATTATATTTACCGTGTATTTTTATATAATAAAAAAAGAAAGCATATATTTTTAATACTCTAAAATAATAAATTTCCATAAAAATTTGATAAATACTGCAGAAATTGAACTTTCTCGTATTTTCTTTATATGTGCATGCTCATAAATTCTACAACATAACATTCTTAGGTATGGCATTGCAATCCATGACGGTCTTCGAAAGCGTGATCACCGTTTATAAAATTCAAATCAAACCGTTAATTATTATTAGTGGCTGATTAGAAGCCGAGAGCAAAGTTCCATTTTTTTGTTAGTTAATTTATTAAATATTCTTAACTTATTAAAAATTATTCTTTACGCGTGTAATTTTGTAATTTCAAAATTTTATTGAATAGGAAACTAGTTTAATGAAGTATCCGAAGTAAAAACCATTTTTTTTTAAATTTATTAATATGTATGCCAGTGTGGTTTTTACTGAAGAGAAAACACATTAATATATCATTTAAATGGGACTGCTTAGTCCATAAAACAAATTAGAGAACAATTTTAAAGTATTACAATCACAGAAATAAAATTACCTCCATTAATTAATATTTGATTATAAAATTTTAGGAACATCAGAAATAATATCAATGCCAAACACAAATATTTTTATTATCAGATTATAACATTTTAAAATGATGGTAGTATTGTATTAATTGATTATAGTTTGGTTATTTCTATAGTTAATGCATTTCAAATTCCTAATGCAAATCTATTAGAATTGAGTTAATTTTTTATAAACATTAATTAATATATTTTATTGTACTAGGTCGATTTATATCAATCAAATTATAATAGAATCAAGTATTATTAACTAATTAAATTATTTATTTTTATTCCTTCAAATAAAGTTGAAATGAATATACATTCCTTCTAATTGGAAAAAATATAATTTTTTTTAATCTTTTATTTATAATTTAATTTATAAAATTAAGAAAATTTTATTTTTGTAAAGGTTGAATAAGCGAAGGTGTTCGGTTTCATTTATATTAATTCTGTAGTTTTTATGACTTGAATAATATTATTTTCAATCTTTTATGATATAATTAAAGGAATAATATATTTATGAAAATAAAGTACAAAAAAATTATGCAAACTTTTTTTTTATTATGTATCTGTTAATTATTAATCATTTACTAGATTCTAGATTTTTTGATAAATTTTTTTTATAAATTTATTTAATAAATAAATTTTCTTTATTATCTATTGTCAACATTAATCTATATAATTACAATTTTTGACAAATATCAGTAGTTAAATATCTTAAAAAATAAGATTTTTGTACATATGAATAAGCTATTCTAAAAATTGGAGCAAAATATTTATATTTTTTAAGTAACCTATAACGTAACAATTTATACTTAGCCAATTCATCTGGACTTGACAGGGGTTGGATTTTAAAAAGAAAAATGATCCTGAGAACTTAACCCCTCACTATTACTGCTTTTCTACTCTCGAAGGGCACGTTTTAAGTACACACGTACTACGCAATGCGCGTTAGATCCGATTTCACAACTGTCATGATTTATTAAGTTTCATATTTCCATAGTTCTTTTGTTTATCTTGAAATTGTCTTATTAAAGATTTATCATTTTTCTATGATCTTTATTTTTGATAAATTTATTAATAGAATCATTTTAGTGTATATTTACGATATAATGACAGAAATTCAATTATGAACGCGTTAAAAAATTGGGAAATTTTAATGATAAATACAAAATTTTGTATATAAATTTTGTATTTATGTAAAAATAGAATTATATATATTATAAGCTTAGAAAAAGTGAAAATGAAGTTCTGACTATTCAAATTTTTACGTAGATTTACTGACATTGAAAATATATTGATTTTTTTAGTTTGAGTTTTTAATATTTATATTATATTTTATTAAATGAGATTTTAAAGAATTAATAACTTACTCGTTTCTGATTGTTACAGCACTCAATGTTATACTTTTTTCATCACTATGAACTACCAGTCATTTTACAGCAAGCTCAATTACAACAATTGATATATCGTAATCACATGCAACCAGCGACAACACAGCAACCGCAGCAACCGCATCAACAACATCAAGAATTGCGGCAACAAGTTCAACGTTCCGTACAGGACTATTTTGGAGATTTATCACGATTGAGTAATTTCTGGGGAGTCACACGTTTCGCTCAACAGCCGCAATCTACGTCAGATATCGCCTTAATAAGGTCTCTGTCAACTTCAACATCTTTGGCCGAACAGCAACACCAGCCGGAACCAGCAACAATCGCAGCAGGAACAATTGCAAGAAAATCAGCGGACTATGCATGATTATGTTGGTGATTTGACGCAATTAGAAAACATGTGGGGAGTTACTGAGTTCGCTACTGGCATTCCGGTGCATCAAAATGAGAGGACGAATAGTAAGTGCTAATACTTATTATAAATTATGATAAAACTATCTTTTTTGCATCAAGGCGGGATTTTTTTTCTCGAATGTAAAAAGTAGGAATCATAACTACTTACCAACCAGTATAAATATTTGACTTAACTCGTATATTGGGTATTCTATAAAGAATATTATAAATATTATACATACTTATAATTACATTTGTATCTATACTTCTATCATCATTATCTATGATAATGAATATAATGCTTATTAAACAATAAATTACATTAAAAAAATCATTTCTGTGATTAAAAATGCATACAAGAATTAATATATATTTTCTATTTGTCCTTGTTAATAAAATAAAAAATTTTATGCATAACAGAGAACAAAATCCAGAAGTGAATTATAAATTTATCAATAGAATTTAATCGTATAATTATTATTAAAAAAAAAATAACCTTCATTTAAAAATATTTTGTTTAGAATTATGCGTACTAATTTTTCATTTTAATAATTAAAATAGAATCATATAAAATTGAATTCAACTTATACTGAGTTTTGTAATTACAAGCACAATATTACATTTCTCAATGAAATTTTATTTAAAAATAAAATTAATTAAAAATTAAATAAAAATAATAATAATAATTTTAATTTATAATTTTTTTATACAATTGTTATATTTATAAAATAATATAAAAACAAAGAGTTACAAATTAATTATATGAAGATTCAATTTTATTAAATTCTGATGAATGTTTATATTCCAGTTTATAAAATTTATTAAACATTTAATTGTTTGTCTGTTTTTTCTTCCCTCCTCTCTTATCACCGACAGCTTCTAAATTTTCACGTTTTATAAGATCATGTGAATCCAGAAAGTTTGAAGATAAAAAGTTAACAAAAGAACAAAGTAGAGAAGAAGAAAGAAAGATTCCAATTATCGTATTTATATGATTATTTTGCACATTAATTTTCAAAATTACCCATGTGTAGCCTATTTCGATTAATTCCAGTTATCAGGGTAACATATTTTTCTTTTTGATGACATGCTTAATCTCAAATCGGCACACGTATAAAATCAAGTTGAAAAACACAAAATATGAAATTGTGATCTAATTTGCTACTAAAGTTGAGTATTGTTTCGTGATATAATATTGAGTGGAAATCCTGATACCCTTCAATAGATGTAACTCCAATATGATTAATGGTAGTAAAGTTAACATATTATTGAAACTGTAAGTAATGTAAATGTCAAATTATAGTTTGACAGTAAAATTACTACATTAATTTTGTATGCAAATTGAACTGTAGTTTAAATTAGTCATTTCATGAAAATACTAGAGAATAGTTTTGTTTTTAAATCTGTCCTAAAAATTTCCTAAAAATAAAATGTTTTTTTTTTAATTATCTTATAAAAAGTTAAACTTATTAAATTTATTTATTTCAATACATTTTATCAAATGCAATTATATTTTTTATTATATATATATATATATTTTTACAGTTCTATACATTTTATATTACTTATAAATTTATACATAATATGGACGATAATTTTTACAAATACTTTTTTAAATTTTAACAGATTTTATAGTATTGAAACTTCATTATTATTATGTAAAGATTAAATAAATTTAACATTTTGACAAACACCATAAATTTAAAGCAAACACCAATATTATCGTAGAATTACGCGATCGAACATTTTTTCAAATCACACAGTATTTAAAATATAACAAACATAATTAAAATTTTAAAAAATTATAATATAAAATTGTATTAATCAATACATTAATCTATGTATGTTTATATAATTTTTTATTTACAAAGTATTTTTACATTATATATTTTTTTAATTATAATACGCTACGAAAGTTATATATGTTAAATAAAATTAAATGAATTTAATATATAAATATATTCTTACTATTAAAATAATATTAATAAATAAGTAATCGTTTACTTTTAAAAATCACTTTTGAGATTTGAACTAATTGTATTTGAAGTTGTAAAAATGTTGAAAACTATCTTAGTTATAACTATAAACATAATAAAAATATATGGCAGATATTACTTAAAATTGTTCCATCTGTTTCAGCTCATACTGAGTCAACAGAGATGACGAACGGATCATCGTCATTTGCAGTGTCGATAGCTCCATCGATTAGCTTAGCTTCCGGTATTGAGATGTCCTCTGTAACCGAGGCTTCTTCTTCAGAGGGTTTTGAGGTTATTGAATCACCTGATAGTATCCAAGCGATATCGACTTCGGTCGAAGCTAGGGGAAACAGATCTGCTAATATTACGGAAAGCAGTGAAAGCAACTGTTAGAAAGGGTGTGGTCTTCGACGATGCTTAAAATATGAGGAAGTGAAATACGCTTGCTTGCTATACGCGTTTTAATATTTTGTCGATGAACCCAAGTAATGAAATGAGATGTCACTGAAAGAATGAAGATATTATATAGATAGTCATAGTAAAAATTAGCTTGTGCAGTTTGAATATCTAGATGTCAAGTTGAAGAAAATTTCAAGGAAAGCACAAGCAGGTCGTCTAGCGAGAGAAGGAGAGTGGCTTCGTGAATATTGATAAAAATAATCAAATGGAAAAGTTTAATATGCTTCTCAGTAATGTGTATAATTTTAAGGAATTTCTTTGTGTTATTTTTCTTTTAATTTTTTCCTTTATTAGTTTTTTCTTTTTACTATTTAAACGATGAAAGAGATAGTACCGGGAAGTATCAAGTTCTGTGTATACGTAAGTAACGCGTCATTTGTACGATGTGAATTGTTATTTATTGATTTCTTTTGTAAATGGGCTTTTAAGTATTTCGTAAAGAAAAGCATCGTAAAACTTTTTCTATTATTAAATGATCTCGGTTAAGACTTCAAAGAGAAGTTAAAAACTAATAAGTAATTGATACTATATAGTAAATTGAAAAACATCTAGTTGGTTTTTCTTTTTAAAGAAACAAACACTTCTTCTTGTTTCATCGTAACTAAACGTTTGTTAGCGATTGTACAAAATTTCCAATAAATACGAGCTAATTGTCTCTAACATTGTTAATATTTAATCTTTTTTTTAAAGAATTATTTTATATATATTTAGAGAATTTATTTAGCCTTAGTTGATGTTAAATTTATAATTTTCATAGAACAAAGTTATAATTTATATATACGTAGGTAAGTTATCTTTATTAGTATATAATGCTAATATTTATTTAAATTATTAAAATATCAGAATAATTAAGAGATTATAATTACGACATATACTTTGCCATATAAATAACTTTATTTAATATTTCAATATATGATGATATTTATAATTAATTATACAGATAAATCTTAAAAATCATTTTACTCATAAATTATTATTTTAATTCTTTATAATATATAAAATAATTATGATTTTTCAATTATCTATTTTGTTGTATTTATTAACATTGTTTAGAATAAAATACAATAATAATATTTCATTTAAAAATTATCCTCTTAAATGGACAAACACGTTTTTGCAGATATTGAAAAAAAAATTGTACAAATTTTCATTTAAAATTATAATTTTTTGTGTTCAATAAATAATATTATTATTAATATTCAAAATATGTTTATTCAATAATGATTATATATTAAATAAATAGAAAAAACACTCTAAATACTTTGTATTTTCAATTTTATGATAATAAATTTGATTTTTCCAATTATGTATTCAACAAAATATTTCGTTATAAAGATTCAAGATAAATTAATTCAAATAATTAATTAAAATCTAAGAACTATAAATGAACAAAATTAAAAAATAATTTTTAAGCATTCCTTTTTATGTATAGCCACGTAGGCTCGATTAAATTTTATAATTCAAAAAAGTTATAATTTCTAAACTTCACATTCAAGATATTTCCATGCAATAGAAATTTGATATATTTGCAAGATATTATTTTTATTATAATTGTTTACAAAACTTTTTTTTGATGGGAATATCATTGTCTTGTACACGTATCTAGAAAACTAAACGAAATTTTTAATGATAGCATCGCAAACAACAAAGAGTAGGAGGCATTATTTAAGATAAAGACTCGTACAAAAATTATTGTTTAATTTTTTAACATCTTATCTACTAGCAGATTCTAGTGTCATTTTATTAATATGTAAACCACAATAGAAATAATGGTTATTTAATGAAATATTTAATTAAAAAGAACGTTTCTTTTATTTACTTGCACTTGGCAATACGTGATTATGATTTACATCAGTTGTAACAACTTGTAAATAATTCCTTTTTTCTTTTGAAATTATCAAGTTTCTTGAAATGTTATGAATATATTATTTGTATTTGTTGTATATTCGTTTAGCTATATAGATATTTAAATAAAGTTTGCTAATTTCTGAGCCTTATACCAGTACTTGTTCCAATTGTTTTAATTATATAGTCGTATAAACTTTGAAAGATATTTGTGATAATTCATGAATAATTAAATTTATATATACAAGATGTATACAGTTTTATATAACTATAATTTAGTATCTGATTAGAAACACCATTTGTAATTTGAAAAGAATTTTTTGCAAATTTTACAGTCATTAAAATTGAAATTAAATTAAAAATATTAAAAAATATTATGATATAATATGTTCAATAATTGACATACATAACAAATCACGCATGACTATATATTTTACAGAAATACGAATAATGATTACGGAAAAAAGAAGACCCCAATTTATATTTGAAAACACTACATTAAATGATTACACAACTAAAATGATCTTATAAGCAATTCCATTTTCATCTTAATATTTATAATAATTTTATTATGTATATAATATATATAATAATGTTAATAAAAGTGTTACTATTGGATTTCTATAATTAATGTAAATTTTATGTAATGAAATTTTACAAATTTCTTTTATGAAAAATATTTGATACTATTATAGATGTGTTTTTATTATTGAATCTACAATCTTAAAAATTGTCCAAAAAGTAAATAGAAAAATAAATTAGTAGATTAATTCGAATAAATAAAAATCATGTGAAGCCACAAGAAAGGAACTCGAATTCGAAAGAAGTTGCTTACAATATCTGGAACACAAATTTATATATATATATATATATATTTGACACCTTGTGAAAAAGAATTCACTTTTTCTAATAAGTGTGATAATAAAAATTAAAAAAAAAGTAATAAAATGTTCGCTACATAAAATAAGCATAGTTTTTTATCTTTAATTTAAAAATGAATTTTTTATACATAATTTTTTCGTCAACATTTTTTTAAAAAATTCAAATATAATACTGTCGTACTCGTTGGTTCAATTTGTATAAATATATTTAATTTTTTTACTTTTTTTGAATTTCAAAAGAATAATTATTTTTGCAATTTTAAATTTTACAATTTTTTTATGTATCTATTGAAACTCATTATCGTCCATAGAAAATAGATTGTTTTATAGCTAACTTTATTTTAAATGAAACTTATTTAATAAATTTAAACTAAACCGATTTTGAAAAATTAAATTTCTTTTTCTAAAATTTTAAGTAAAAATATACACAAAAACCTATTTTACAATTTCTACTATAAACATTTATTTAAATAATGGTAATTATTTGCGTATTAGTTTAAAATGTTGTTTAAATAGATTAAAAATAAATAATTGATTGATAATTTAATTCAAGTTCACTTACAAAATGAAAGATCTTTTTTTATTAAAGTTATGACTAAAATAATTCCAATTTAACACTAGTAGTATTAATCATATTAATGTAATTATGATGTAAAGCAGCAGTGAAATTCATTAATTACCTAATATGATCCGAAAAACTTAAATAATATGTAAATGTAATTTAAATAAAATGTAAATGTATGTTTTTATAAAATTTGAAGATAAAGGCGATTTATTATGTATAATAATTGCAACAGCTTCTTAATGAAAGAAAGTTGTTCTGAAGAAAATTATTCTTTTTGTGTTGTGTACCGTACAAAATCACTTGAATTATACTATATCCAACGGCAAGTGTATGCTACTATTTTAGTGACTTTCTAATTGTCTGTTTTTTTTTTAAAGTTGGATTATATCTTATATATTCGAGATTAAATAGTATTTAGCCCTATACATACATTAATTAACTGAGACCTTAGAGATTTAATTTTGTATCTACATTTAGAATTTATTCATCATAAAATAAAGAAAATAATCATTAAATTACTTGTGTATGTAATATAATTCATAAAGTATAAAAGATGGTTTGGAGATAAAATTTATCTTATTAATCCTATTAATCTGTATATATTACCTGTTATTTACCAATTTTCGTAAAAAAATACTAAATAAAAGTAATTTTATCATTGGAATTGAATTTTATCTACTTGTCATAAAATTGGAGTTCAAATGATATCAAAGATAGCGAAAGCGGAAAATTTAAAATAATTTCATGAAATGGATATTAATTACTTTCGATGGTGAATGAATGCGTAAAGATATTTCTTTCTAGTAGACGATCAAAATAGACAAATAGTCTTCGAATAAGGAAAGCAGAGATGGATGTTAAAAGTACTGTGGAATCAAACAGGTGTCATAAACGAAAGACAGAATCCCAATGAAACAGTAATCTAACGATTTATTTTCATTGTGACTTGTAATTAGGGAACCTAGGACGTGCTACTGTTGATTCAAAATGGATGAATATACATGTCAGCTCTTCATTTTTCATCCTATCCATTTGCTGCAACTAATCTGCAGCTTATTGCTGAAAGAAACCATTTATAACATTGATTAATTTATTTGAAAATGAAGGTTTTATTTAATATTGATTTAATATGTGATTGAATATATTTAATTCATTTTACGTTTTTTATTTGGCCTTCGTTATTAATTTTTTAAATATATTTTACAATAACATTTTAAACAATTATCCAAAATTATACTTTATCATATTAAGTATGACTGTTAGATAATTATCGAAAAATTAAGAACAAGATGGGTATTTCAATTAGTATATATTACTTTCATAACATAGTATTTAATATTAATATAGTTTAGAATATTGAAGAAATTATTAAATAGAAAAATTATTGATGTACAAACTACGATGTAATTTTATACACCGTTATACTAAAGGCGAATATTAATAAATTAATGTTAATAATTAAAATTAAAAAATATGCTCTATATTAATATTATAATAGTAATTTCGAACTTAATTTGACTTCTATGTAAAATTAATGCTAGTTATAATAAGCTTAAATTTATCTAAAAATTTTGGGATGTATTTCTAGTCAGTTAAAGGTACAATAAATTATTTACAATTATTTAAATAATTGTATATTCGCTAATTATAAAGGTATGATTGTGTTATTGCTGAAATTTATTGTTAGTTTTATTAAATAATTGTGTTGAATACTAATTAAACTATAAAGAATATTGTTTCGTTGAATTTGAATTTCCTATAAATTTTCATTGCGCTTGCAACAATGATGATTCTTCATAGTCTTGTATCAAATCTAAAAATAAAGAAATTTATACTAGGTTTCTATGATTAAACATTACATTAAATAAAATAATTGATTTTGATCTAAAGTATAAAATATTTATTTTAATATTGTTCTTACTTTATTGAATTAATAACAAATATCATTAATTAGTATTCCGACAACTGGTAGATTTCAAGTAAATTTAATAAAAGAATTAAGTTGTATAAGATTTCTGAAATTTAATAATTTTATATTAGTATATAAATCTTCATATGTGATATATTAAACTAATTGAAAAATATAAATTTTTAAGCATTAATTATAAGGATTCAA